GTAAGTTGGCTTTCACTTTGTCTTGGGTTTCAGGTGTGGGTTTGCATGGCTGGTTTAGAGCTCATTCTCTTGTGGTTATTGAAGAGCCTTCACAGCTGTATGGTGGCAGCGCGTCTGCCCGACGTGTGTATGTGCTTAGACGGAGGTGCGCCAGCTGTGCCGCTCTGTAAATGTGTTGTTTTTGTCACACTGCAGCCCTGGGCTACACTGATGGAGCAGATAGCACACTTGTGAAACTGCACTAAAGTCTCTTGTGCTGTCTGACTCACTCATAGACTTGGCCAATGAGTAATCGCTGCTCAGTTATCGTCTGCACTTGTCTGGTTTGAGTCAAAGTCCATGTCGTGGCTATGAAGGAGTTATTGTTGTTAATAAGTGTGATTGTGTGAAACATGTTGGCAAATAAGAGCAAGAGTTAGTGTAGTGCATTTTTTTTTGTTAACTAAACCATAAAAAAGCTGTTTTTGAAACTTGGAATAAATAAATATTAACCGAAATAAAATAAATTATATATACAATTTTACTTATTTTACATCAGCTAGGGGTCAAATAAATATTCTTTTTTTTTCATAAATTTCACATTCACTTTTTTCATAATTTAATGTACTTAAGAACTAAAACTCAAGTAAAATTGAAGAGACATTTAATAAAAACATTTGAATATCATCTAAGGAAATTGACAACATATTTACAAATTTGTACAATTTAAATAAAAACAGAATGTACATAAATAGCGAATTCAAGCAGTGTTAAAAATAAAGCTACACAGTTAAAAGTTATTAGTTCGCTTTACTTAAAGTGAGTAAACCCATTGCTTTTAAATGCTGATTTATAGTTCTGCGCTAAGCGCATGCATATGGTCTGGCGCAGCCTTCGCACGATCGCATAGCCCTCGCTGTGGCTGATGCTGACACGCACCTCTCAAAAAATGTAACCTCACGTTGCACAACGCATAGTGCAAGCTCTTTGATTGGTCGGCTTGGTAGCGCTGACAAGTGTGGGCGGGACCAATAGTCACGCAAACACATTGTAGCGAGTGTTTACAAGTGTTGAGTCCTGTGAACAGTGTTGGGGGTAGCACATTACAAGAAACGCGAGTTACGCAATAATATTACTTTTCAAATTAATGAGTAAAGTAACGCATTACTTTTCAAAATTAGGTAATAATACTTGAGTTACTTTTTACGCTTTAAAAAAATAGCTGAATTAAATGATCGTAGTCACGTTGAATCCCGCTATAAGAAAATGCAGGAACAGGCTGAAAGGAAGATGGCTGAGACTTTCCATTACATTTCTGTAATGGAAAAAATTCTTCTTATTTGGAACACATGGAAAAAAGGAAAAGGAAAGTCATATTATTTTTAATAAGACAGAAGTTGCAAACACATTGCTTTAAACTCTTTATTAATTTAAAATAAATTAATAAATAAAAAATTAAATTAACTTATTAACTTTATTAGCTGCTTTAATCTGTATATATGGCATGTACTGTATAGCTCTGTGGTCATGAAGTTCTCAGAAGATCACATTATCCTACGTTAATTTTTATATGTGTTTTAAGGTAAATGAAGGTTATACAATTTGTTGATTGCAGAGTTCCTCTATTTAAAAAAAAAACAAAAAAAAAAACAAGAAGGAAAAAAACCCTATGCAAGGTCTGAAAGAGATCAAGCCTCAAGCCCCTTTCACACATGCAGACCTTTCCGGAAAATTACTGGCAAAAAAAAAAAAGTCCTTTTTGAAAATACCGGTAAATTCGTTCTGGCTATTTTCCGGAAAGAGAAGTTGTAACATTGCCGGAATGCTGCGCTGTGTGAATGTAGAAGGAAGATTGCCGGAAAGAGCGCATGCACGTCTAGAACGTGCTGACGTAAGACGTCTGCTTTAGCCAATCAGAAAAGTCAGACGCGATTTATGATAATAAAAGCCTTTGAATATTTTCCCAGACGCATTTAGCTGCTAGAAGTTAGTCAGATAACGTTTATATGTTCTTTTTAATACCAACTGTGTAAATAATCATTGATAAGATGCTTATGATAAGCCGCAGTTTGTTTAACTTCAAGTTTTGCGTATGCCTGTGAAACAGCCTGTGTGCGCCAGCACACGCACATATTATGAACATCTCGACATGCAAAAGTGATTCTCCATATTATTTAATCGAAGTTGTTCACAATACTGCTCATCCACAGAGTTTGTGATGTGGTCAAATGTTTACAAATACAAGTGCAGCCGTTTAAGGCTCATTTGTGGTGAATGATGTCAGAATTTACCGGTATTTCGGAATGGATGTGTAAACGGTCTTTTCTGGAAAAATTCCATAACGTCCTCGCCTGTGTGAACAGCGCTTTTTTGAATATACCGGTATAGTCGTTCCGGAAATTTTCCGGATATTTACCAGTATCACTGTGTGAAAGGGGCTTCAGTCAGGTCAGAAAAAGTAACTCAAAAGTAACGTAACATTACTTACTATAAAAAGTTACTGAGTAGCGGAACTACAGTAGTTACTTTTTTGGGGAGTAACTTAATATTGTAATGCATTACTTTCTAAAGTAACTTTCGCCAGCACTGCCCGTGAAGGAACTCTAAATGTGTTTACCTTATTATTAATGTTGTTGCACATCCGCCAGTTCCCATCTCTGAATGAGCAAGTTTTAGCTACTTGTACATTAAGGTAGCGTTCAGAAAAAACAAAACACCAGCAATTTACAAAGAAACTCAACACAGAGAAACATGAATAAACCGACTCCCAGCTAGTGTTTCGGAAGTATTATTGCAGAGCAACACAAACAGCACGCAGAGGTATAAATGCACGGCTACGTGCAAGTCATGTGCCCTGGGTCACGCTGATAACTCGACACAGAAGTATTAAGCAGCCTTAAAGTAATTAGTTGACTTTACTTAAAGTGAGTAAACCTATTGCTTTTAAAGTGATTAGTTGTTTTTGCTTTAAAAAAAAGTGAGCAAACATCTTGCTTTAATTCATTAAGTAAATGAATTATTCATTAAGCAAATAAATAAAGAAATTTTTATTTATTTAATAAAGTTGTTTTATTTATGTGCATAACTATTGAAACAGTTCCAAGTTACACACAAAAAAATGTTGGGTTCCACAAAATTAATTTGGAATCAAGTTAAATTAATAGTTTTTGCAAATTTAAGATTGAATTTGGAATGAACTAGGGCTGCACAATGTATCGATTCAGCATCGATATCGCAATGTTTAAGTCCGCAACAGTCACATCGGAGGGATCTGCAATGTAGTCGGGATTATATTTAATCAGACTTTACAGTTAAGAACAAGATGGAGTCATTTAAATTTTAACCTTAGCGAGGAAGTTTATTATTTGCATGTGCTTTTAAGGTTTTTTGACTGTGTAAGCATTTCAAACTAATTTACACCATTTTGGTACAAAAAATAAAGGTTTGTAGCTTAAAGATAAATTGCACATTACATATTATTTACTCACTAAAATGATACAGCATTGTTGTTATTATTGTGTTTATACAGTGATTATTTAATTTCTATTTCTGAATACTGTTCGACTCTCCAGAAATCCTAAATCATTGTTTATTTGTTTGGGTTGTATTTAATTTTGTTGCATTTCTAATGATATTCAATGCAAATGTGCTCCCCATAGAGTCATCTCAAACGGTTTAAATTATGAATTCTTTACAAGCCATTTAAATTGTTTAGTGAAATTAAGTAATTTTTTATTGCAATATATATGTCAGTAAAAGAATATATTGTAATGCCAGTTTTTGTTTAATATCGTGCGGCCTTAGATTGAACATTAAACAATTAAGTTGTTCCCAAAAAAATGCCTCAAGAATTGTGTTTTTTCAGCTCATTTTAAATAAATAGTTTGAACTAACAGCAGTGTTTTATGTAAAACAGGTTTGCACACATTTTTAAAGTAAATTCAACTTTTAAGGCAATGGGTTTGCTCACTTTAAAGTTATGTAATCACTTTACAGTGCAGTAGAATTAACATTAACAAAACAGTGGTATTTGGATATTTTTTCTAATAAAATATCAAAATATAAATTAATAGTCTGAGAAGCAAAATAGTTTTAGTAATCAACCTAAAATATGTGTTACTTAACAAAGTGAAATAAAATAAATGCACATTTTTGTAGTTTTAAATGTTTAGTAGTCTATTTTATTTTACTTCTTAATTTAACTTACTTTATTAAAATACCCCCCCCCCCCCCTTGTAATAACTGACAAACTGTGTGGCCTTTGAAGCCTTCTGTGATGGCATTAAAAAAAACTGAAAGAGGAAGTGATCAAGACCCATCCTGCTCTGTGAGACAACAATGTTCATTTTGTGGTTTATATCTGAACCTTCTCCTTCACAGTTACGTAGAAAGAAGGTATGAAATGTTGCATGGTCCAAAATGAAGCAATTTAACAGTTACACCTTCCCCCGCAACAATGCACATTTAATCTGCTAATCTTGAGAATTCAGAGGAACAACATGAACCTGATGAATAATTTATGCAAGTAAGTTGTTTGCAGATGTTTCTTTTTAAACAACCACAGGGAGCATGACAGCTTACAATTTTTTTTGCTTTGACCTAGCCAGACAAAGAGCGGCATAAATCTGATTTCTTTACTTCCTTTGACATTTATGTTCACACACATCTGTATTACTGCTGCTAATATTTATGATTTATGAGTTGAACACAAACTATAGTGGATGCCATCCTTCAACTGCATGTTAAAGACAGACGTCAAAATTATTTTATTATTTATATTATTAGTGATCAGTAATCAATAATCACAGAAATATTGCGTTTCTGTTATGCAGAGGTTGAAACTAAATTAAAAAACAATAATAAAAACATTTTACTATCTTTGATTTTTCTTGAATGTCTTATATGGTCAACAAGACTGTATGTATTTGATCAAATTCAGTGATTAAATTAATACAGTAATATAGCTGCTAAAGTTTTTTAGCATCATTACTTCACATTTTGTGTCATGTGATCTATTTATA